GTATGTAAGAATTATACGTAGATAGTATAATTTGTAAGTGAAATGGTGGGTGTGTAAGGAAATTAGGAAAAAGTCCAAATTAAAAAGACAGAGCATGATGAGGACTTAGATTTTGCAACGAAAAAAGTCAAGAATGTATAAAGGCAAAGTGCTTTTGTTAGGAGGAAAAAGTTCTACACTGAACATCCATTGCTTAAGTTTGGGACCCAACCAATTATTGCCGTTTTTTGAATTTTGATCTAAATTGGTTAATGTTTGCAACTGCATAATGCATGCAGTCACCACAAAACTGAATTATTTCACTTCGATTCTTAAATTAAATGCATGTTATGATGTTAGTACTACCCACACCCACATCAACCTGAAATCAACTCACCTACCTCTCCAAGCATAATAATTTCCATTTATTACTTCAAGTCCTTTTTTCTATACATACCACCACCATCATGTTCAAGTAGAATTGTACAACTTACATAGATGACAATTTTTTAAAATATTTAATACAAATATATATGAGCTAAATTTGAAATTATCTTATTTATAATAAAGCAAACAATTTTTGCATAATTTTTTCATGCAATAATTGCTCCTCATAAAAACAATATCGTTGCAATAATTATTTATGAAAATTGATGATGTCACTTTAAAAATTATTAATAACTCATTTTTATTATTTGTAGATTTAATTTCATTTTTATTATATTATATGTACATATGAATAATGTTAATATATTATAAATATAATTTTAGTGACTATCTTACATAAACAAATAAATGATGCTTTATTTTGACACTTTTCTAAGGGGAAAAAAACAATAAAGGAACATTGGGTACATGAAATATTTTTTATTTGAATCTTTAACGGATGGTTATGAAATATAATGAAAATTCTTACAGAAATTACAATCTAAGTTCGATCAAAAAAAATGGTGACAGTGGTGTTTTGAGTAAGGGTTAAAATATACATGTGATTTAATAAATTAATTTAAATATTAAATAAAAGTTATTAAATCTGGTTCATTCATTTAAATATTTATCAATCTAATGATATTCAATCAATAATTCATTGGCGAACTATTTTTGTAAAACACAAAATTTTAAAAATACACTAATAAACTACCAAAATGACGGTTCATGATAGAATCCACCATAATCAAACATTTATTGTTTCAGAAAAAAAAAAGTAAGGGGAAATATAGTTTGGTTATGCATAATTTTTTCCAATGTTAACTTTTATACTTCATATTTATTTTATTAATATTGGTATTGATTTTAATTATTGAAAAAAAATAAAATTAATTAAAAATATTTTACTGAATTTTTTGAATATTTTACAAGGGAGCATGGACGATGACTCTTAAATTTATAAAAATAGAGATTAATGAATAAACATTAATAAGAAACGAAATCAAAATAGAAAATAATAATAATAATAATAATAATAAATTAAATGCATTATGTATATAAATAAGTTAATTTGAGTATAAAAGTAAAAATTAAAAAAAAAATCATTTATCGATTCGATTCATAATAGTATTTTATAAAAATTCATCAATGTGAAATAAAAATTTTAAGTTGTTGATCAAACAACTCTACAACATTTATACTAACATAGTCTTTAATTACACCACCATCTAACACGACAAAACTGTCAACTTTTCATACTCATCTTTATTTTCCTTCCATGTAAACATGATCATAAATATATAAGATTATATTATATTAAGTTGACTGAGCTTTGGAGATATAGACTATAGTATATAACAAATTCCTTTATATGCTTAAATTAAAATAATCATCTTGTATGAAAATCTTTTAAATTGTACAAAAATCTTTTAAAGAATAACTTTTCTACAAAAGTCTTTTAAATTGAACTTCTCTTAAGAGAATTTTAGGATTTTTTTTTCTTAGTTTCTCATCTCTTCTAATTTATTTTTAGTTTATATTAAATCTCAATAATTTTAATTTAATAATAATAATAAAATCTTATATTAAAATGTAAATTATTTATTATAAATTTAACATATATATCCTATGCTTGTGTTAAAATCACAGTTTTAATAAAATTTCAAATAAACAGATTTTATGCTTTATTTGGTATAGGCAAAATAGTGAAGAAATAGAGTAGAAAAAGACAAGATAGTGAAGAATTTTTTTATTTACAATCGTTTGGTATCGATGAAATTTTTCAGCAAAGAAATAAAAAAATATGACACATTTTTATTTTTTCACAAATCAGTGTGAAAATAAACAATATATGCTTAAAAATTAAAATTCACTTGTATTTGAATAAAAAGTACTCACAACTCACACAAAAAAGTTTTTATTTATTAAAATAAATAAAACTTTTATTTGAATATATTTTCTTTCGAAAACGTAAACATTCATTTGAATATTCAAATGAAGATTTAGAATTTTATTAATTTATTTTAAATGTTTATTTCATTTATTTAATTTAAATTTATTATTTTAATTAATTTTTAATCTAAAAATATTACTTTAAAATTATTTACTTACTTTTAATTGGTTATTTATTTTATTTCAAAATATCATTTGTTTAGTTATATAAATTTTTATTTAAATTATTAAATAAAAATAATAATTAAATAATAATAATTTTTATTTTATTTATTTATTTCTTCTTTTCAAATACTTCATTTTTTAATCTGTTTCTTTCTATCTTACTAAATATACATAATATTACTTGCTATCTATTTTTTTAATTAAACAAACAAATTTTTATTCTATTTCTTACGTATTTTCACTCAATTTTTTTTTTATTTCTCTTCACCCTATTTTTCATTTATTTTTTTAATCTCTGTCAAACACAGCATTGGTTCCTTTGGCAAGAAAGTCATAATTATATGTGTAGACATAAAGTTTGATAAATTATGAGATGGTTTGAAGATTATGCAAAGGAAGAGCATGGTGATGAACTGAAAATGACTAGTCAAACGTGCGTGTGGCCCGTCGCAAGATAATTATCAGTTGAAACAAAGGAAAATTAATAGCCTGATTTGAAAGGAATTGGCATATATGTGTATTCTCTCTTTTTCATAATGTTTAAGATTTACGAACTATTTATTTTACACAGAAATTCTTTTAGATCATACGATCACAGACATATTTTAATGCAATTTTTTAATTAAAACAAATTAATGTATATTTCAATTAATTTTTTATATCAACTTTATAACAAGCGAATTCATTAATATTTTATATATGTAGATTGTAGAACACAAAAGAAAGAGAAGTGAAAAAACAAAAAAACATCCATCAAAACGACAAGAAAATGGAAGAAAACCAAACTCATGAAAGATACCTTTTTATGACGTTTTGGACTTTCCAAACCTAATAGTTTGAGCGTGTCAAACTTTGATGAACATCTGATTTTTAAAAAGAAATAAAAATAAAAAAAGCAATTTTATAATCAAGTGATTTACATTTATTATTTATATAAACTTTTTTTATAAAAAGTACATCTTAATAGTTTTTAATGTAATAGTGTTAACAAAATACGATAGTCGTAATTTGTTTTTAAGTAAGTTTACTTATAATAAAAAAAATTAATTTTAGTTCAAGACAGTGAAAACTTTTTTTTTTTTTCTAAAAAAGATTACGTTAAAAATGTAGACATCACAGTATTTTTGATTACTAATTTAAAACCACGTTCAACAAAAAAATACACGTTCTAATAAAAAAAAAAAGAAAAAATTTGTGAGTGTAACTTTTTTTTTTCAACTTTAGTTGAGCATTCCAAACACACCCCACATGATTCATGAATAGCTTGCCCCTTCAACTTCATTACGAGATTTTAGAACTTAAAACTTTGTCAATATCTTAAATCTATTACTAAGCTAATTTTACTGATTTTTTTTACTGATTCTAGTGATTTTATTATATAAAATAATAATCATATATATGATTAACTAAATAATATAAAATTATTTATATATTTTTCTAGTGTACAAAGAATCAATTACAAAAAATACGAGATTAAGAAGAATAACATTTGATGAAATTATAAATATGTCAATAGAAGAGAAAACATTTTCAACTAAAAGGATTTTAACATTATCCACAAAACACGCTTAACAAAATTTTGAAATTAATTCTTTTGAATTTCGTAGCATTATAGATATGTTTGAATAAGTTTCTTTTGAAGCAGTTTTAGAAAATAAAATCAAATCAAATTTCTTCAGAAGTTAAAAATAATTTATACATTTTAAAAAAATAGACAACAAGAGTGTTTTTACAAATTAACTTAGGTTTAAGTTAATTTTAACTTATTAAGAAATATATTTTATTTTTTCTTGTTAATTTTTTTCCTAATAAGTATTTTTAGAAAATTTTATCCAAACAATCTCTTATGTATTTCTAAGACACCCAATTTTGTCAATTTATTTATATTTTATTATATTTTTTTTCTCTTTCTATTACAAAATTAAATTATACTGAGTCAGTATGAACTAATAACCTTGTTTTATTTCTGTTGTGCTCATAGTTATTCCAATTGGATTGGCACAAGCCTAGAAATCCATTTTTAAAAAATAAATTTTCTCTTTTCTCGTTGTTCCATCGGACCAACTTGGATCCAGAAGCCTCATTTCTTTTCTGTCTTTTTTTTTGCAACTTTTTAACATCAGCCTGGGCGAACAGAGGCCCAATAATCTGGATTTGCTTTTCATTTTTTTTAGTTTTTCTTTGCAGTTGTATTACTAGGCTCACTGTGCGATTTGATTAATTCTTTTCCTTTAAAAATACTTAATCAATCAAGAAAATTAAGTGTGGTGTAATTTAATTTGATTTAATTAAGTGTTTAAAAATTAAAGTATTCAATTTATTACGACTCTTCCACTGCTAGAGCATTGCTTAAATTTTTTTGCTGACAAACTATTGTTAATCTTAATATCTGTTCTACATGCACCAAATTTTTTTAAAAAATGAATAACTACAAAAATCAAAGGAGTTGAGAGGTTAATTAGGCCAAAAACAGGGTCTGACTCTAACCTATTGAGTATAGGTTTGGATTAAAGTTGCAAAAGTATTTTTTACAAATTGTTACATTTGAACCTGCACAATCGAAATGGAAATATGCACTAAAAAGCAAAGAAAAAGAAAACAGAAAGGGAGTATAGGTTAAGTTGTCTTGATTCTAACACCTAGTGGCTAGTGGCTTCATGATTTTGCTGTTTTTGCAGCAACAATAAGGCCTCTATCATTGCCAGTACAGTTACGTATTGGGTGGTAGCACGACTTAACCTTGAGTAGAGTCCTCATAGCCCCAAATTTCTTTTTATTTCCTTTTCTCTTTGGAGTTGATATTGATTCAGTTTCGACCTCCGGAAGTACCTAACAAAAATGAAAAGAAATTAAACAGAATCAACCAAAGTGCTGGATAAATTGTAAATCATTCCTTTTTGTTCTTTGAATGACTACTGGAGCAACTTACCTCGGTTGATGCAACTCTTTCAACACTGTCTGCACTATGCGACCTTTGGTGCATAACAACGGTTTTGGTTGGATAATTATCACCTGCATTTATCAAACACTTTGAATTTGCAATCTCAATTTTTTTTTACCAAACATGCCATTAAAATTCTTTCATTACTCACATTCTTCATTGTCAATGCAATAGATTCTGAAACTAGGCGATCCAGGACAAATATTCCTTCCATCATCATTATTATCGTTGTGGTCGTTGTCATCATGATCATCACCTTTTGCATCTTCCATAGCCTCAGCCGACAGAACTGCATGGTTCATGTTATGTTGGTCTAAAGGGTGGTTGTCCTTCAAAATTGGACATTCAGAATTGGCCATAGGAACCACTCTGGACACTTTTTCCTCTTCGGATGGTTGAATCTCTAAAGAATTGTCATCCTCTTCTGTAGCTTCCTTCAAGAGCTTCTTCTTGGAGAGGTTGGTTTCAGCGTTGGTACGTTTCTTGAAGTCCTCATATTTGAATACAAGCATGGGGCGAATCTTGGGGGGCACCACCTCTCCCTCAGCTGCATTTAACTTGGAATTGCCTATCCCCATTGCAGAGAGAGAACCAATATTTTGTCTGCAATGTAGGGAAAGGAAGTTATGGGATGAATTGAATGGAGGATTTTTGAGGATGGAACCTAATCAACAGTTTGTCACCTAAATTTAGAAACCAACTTAACTAACTAACATGTTCTTTTCCTCCTTACTTAGGGTAAGGATTAACAACTTGACAGGTTGGAATAATGTTGGTGCCTATCTTGGTAATGTGTTAGAGCCTTAAACTGCATTCCGCCACCTACTTGTATCGATTTTAACAAATCATGCTCAATTTACAATTTCTCTTTTTCTATTTTGCCAAATAGGTTGGAATATTTGGCATGCATAATGGAGTACGTAATAAAGAATGACACAACACAACAGACTATTATGGGAATTAGGATTGACACACAACTACTTAAAAGAAAAAGTCACGTGAACATCGGCATTGAAAGAGGTCTATTATCGTCCCATGAAGATCCTAAAGTTTAGGGCTTACTCTCAATTATTAGATTCCATTTTCATCAAATGAATTATCAATAAAATCATGCATGATATTCTTCTTCAATCATAAATTTTTCATTAAATACTTATAAATTATAATTAGTTTATGTATAAATTAATATTAATTTATGATTTTTAAAAAAAAAAATTATCTAGTAAGTATTTATGGAGAAATTTGCTTAAATAGATCTTTATTCTTTTTTTTATTTATATTATTATCCCTTACATAAAATGACATGAAATTACCTTCTCCCATTTATATATTTGGTAATAACAAAATATGTAAAAATGGAATATTAATGTAAAAATGAGCTATAGAAAATTTAATTCAAAATTCAGATAATTGGGAATATGCAATGGAATAGAAGTTGAAAAACAAAGATATCTTATACTAAAAAGTTTGTAGAAAAAGTAAAAGTTGGTTCTTATGCGAAAAATTGGCAGTTCTTCACTTCGTAGTAGTCCATTACGTCGAGCATCTTCTGGAGGGAAATCAAATCATTTCCTTTTGCAAGTTTCATTAAAAACAATTGTAAGTCCAAGTAGTTCAGTGATGAACCAAAAAAGTCCAATAACGTGATGCACTCGTGGATACTAAATTATCTGAAGATCAAAATTAGATGAAAGACGTGAATGATCAAAGTGCTATGACTTTTACTCGAGAATAGTATAATACTTTGCTGACCTTGCTTAACATAATTTAGTTGATGGTTTGAGAAGACATACTCCACAAACATGGCGAAAACAACAAGTACTTGCAATTCTATATATAAGGGAGAAACTCAATTCCTATTAAATAAATATGTAATGTTAAAATAGCATATAAATAGAATGGAAGATAACTATCATTTTATAAATTAGTTTTTCAAAATTTAATTTTTTGAAGTTGAGTTAGGTCCAATTCTATATTTTAAGATAACATAAATTTATACTATATTTTTAATACATTATTATCCCAATTTCTATTTATAAAACCCAATTTGAAATAATTGTTTATTCCTTTATGTAAAATTCAATTCATATTATTTCATTAATTAATTATTTTTAGACTAAAATACCCTTAATTAAAGTATGTTATCTTAATTTTGAAAAATAAATGAGCAAACACTCTAATTGTTTAGGAGAGAAAGAAGAGTATTAATCAATAGAGAGAAATAATACAGAACATGTATTATAATTGGTTAGAGAATATATAAAAAAATAGTAGAAAAGTAATTTTAAAAATAAATATATAAATAGGACAAACTTATTATTATCAACTAAATTAAATACTTTTCTTAATCTTGATAAATTAGACAATTAGAACATATATATGAAAATAGAGGTAGCATTAGGTTATTTACAAGTTATCAACACACCAATAAAATTAAGTGTAATGACATGAAATTATAAAAAGAGAATTTGAAGTTAAATTAAACTAAAACTATATTTTAAGTTAGTATCCGAAGATATTCCAGATATATTATTAGACGATTTACCAATATATATAGGCTTAAATATGTTTAAACTACTTCAAATTAGCTTGATTTTCAGATTATTATTTTAAAAAAAATTTATTTAAATTACCTGATTAATATATATTTTTTAATTTAATACCTGATATTAGTCTCATGTGTTAAATTAGAGCTGTCAAAACGGGTAACCCGGCCCACCACGGGTTGAGCCTTTGGTGGGCCAACCCAACCCGGCTTGTTTATTGGTGAGCTGGAAAAAATTGAGCCCGGCCCGGCCCACCACGGGTTGGTGGGCTAAACGGGTTGGCTCACCTAATTTGAAAAAATCACCTAATTTAAAAAAATGTAATCAAATTTAATGCCTAATCCTGCAAAAATAGTATGCACATAAGCTTTTCTAGAGAAAAGTAAATAAATTCCTACACTAATTACATAATTTGAAGAAAAAATACATAAAATTGAGAATCTATGATGGTCTATGAAGTTTTATTTGGCCCAACCCAATAGCAGAAGTTTTTTTTTTTTTTTTTTTTTTTTGG